GGTTGGCCACGATGCCCCCCAAGACCAAGCCCAGTTGACCCCCAAGCCCACAGTTGGCCACGATGGCCACCAAGGCTCGTTGGCCACCAAGACCAAGCCCAGTTGACCCCCAAGCCCACGACGGCCACCACGCTCAACCCCCCTGGCCCCTCTCACCTGGCCTTGCCCCGCCCCTTGCTCTTGCCGCCGCCGCCCTGCCCTTTGCCGCGCCGGGGCCTCTCCTCCTTGGCGCCGCCGCCGCCGCGCTCGCCGGGGCCTTTGCGGCGCCGCTTCCTCTCTCCCTCGTCGTCGGGTCTGACGCTGGGCAGCTCGTCCTCGTTGAGCACCCGCGGGATGTTCTGCTCGCCGCGGGCGCGGGCGCGGGCGATGGCCTCGGCCACGATGCGATTGGCCTTCTCCTGCTTCTTCTGGTGCTCCAGCTTGCGGCTCTCGTCCGAGGGGCCGCGCGGCGCCGCTGGAGACGCCGCCGCCGTCACCGCCGCCACCTCGGCGCCGCTCAGGACTTTGACCACTGAGAGCCCCGTGGAGCCGCCCTGGGACGAGCCCGCCTGGGAAAGGGGGGTGACCAAGGGTGGGTGAAGACCAAGGTTGGCCAACCAACAAGACCGACGTTGGGCAACCATCAACACCAACATTGACCAACTATGAAAACTAAAGTTGACCAACTACGAAGATCAACGTTGACCAACCATAAAGACCAACATTGACCAACCATCAAGATCAACATCGGTTGACCACCAAGAAGACCAATGTTGACCAACCCCCAACCCCAAAGTTGACCAACAGCAAAAACCAACGTTGATCAACCTCCAAGACCAACGTTGAGCCCAAGACCAATGTTGACCAACCATGAAGACCAACGTTGACCACCCATGAAGACCAAAGTTGACCAATCCCCAAGACCAAGACTGACCAACCATCAAGACCAACATTGACCAACCATCAAGACCAACATTGACCAACCATCAAGACCAAAACTGACCCACCATCAAGACCAAAGTTGACCAATCACAAAGACCAATGTTGACCAACCCCCAAGACCAAAGTTGACCAACCACCAAGACCAACGTTGACCAACCATGAAGACCAAGGTTGGCCAACCATCAAGACCAAAGTTGACCCACCCCAAATCAAGGTTGACCAACCCCCAAGACCCACGTTGACCAACCACAAAGCCCAAGGTTGACCAACCACCAAGGCCAACGTTGACCAACCACCAAGACCAACGTTGACCAACCATCAAGACCAAAATTGACCCACCATCAAGACCAAAGTTGACCCACCCCAAGATCAACATTGACCAACCACCAAGCCCACCCCTGACCAACCACCAAGACCAACATTGACCGACTATGATGACCAGAGTTCACCAACCGTGAAGCCCAAGGTTGACCAACCATGAACACCAACGTTGACCAACCACCAAGCCTGAGGTTGCCCCACCCCCAAGCCCCGCCCCCCCCCTCACCTGCGGCTGCAGCACCACCTTGAGCGGCACCGTGAGCCGGTGCCCGGCGGCCCCCACCACCTGCGGCACCTGTGCCACGCCCACGGGCGCCGCCCCCGCCTGCTGCACCAGCTGGATCTTCTGCGGCCCCGCCGGCGTCGCCGCGGCCGCGCCGGGCGCCGGCTGCACCTGCAGCTGGATGGTGACCACCTTGGCGGGGCCGGGCGCGGCCTTGGCGGGTCCCGGGGCGCCGGCGGGGCCCCCCTGCACCACCAGCTTGCCGGGCAGGGTGCCCAGCACCACGTGGCGCTGCCCCGGCGCCGCCCCGGCCGCCCCCGGTTGTTGAAGGACCAGGGTGATGCGCTTCGACTCGCCCTGGGGAGGGGGGGACACCAAAAACACCCCAAAGTCACACCGGGGAGCCCAAATCCCTCCAGGGATCCCAAATGACACCAGAAATCCCAAATCCCACCCCAAAATCATCCCAGGGAGCCCCAAATCCCACCCGAGATCCCAAAGAACACCAGAGATCCCAAATAACACCAGAGATGCCAAATCTCACCAGAGATCCCAAATCCCACCCCAAAATCACCCCAGGGACACCAAATCCCACCCGAGATCCCAAATAACACCAGAAGTCCCAAATCCCACCCCAAAATCACCCCAGGGACACCAAAGAGCACCAGAAATCCCAAATCCCACCAGAGATCCCAAATCCCACCCGAGATCCCAAACAACACCAGAAATCCCAAATCCCACCTCAAAGTCACCCCAGGGAGCCCAAATCCCACCAGAGATCCCAAATATCATCAAAAATCCCAAATGACACCAGAAATCCCAAATCCCACCCCAAAATCACCCCAGGGACACCAAAAACACCCCAAAATCACCCCAGGGAGCCCAAATCCCACCCGAGATCCCAAGTGACACCAGAAATCCCAAATCCCACCAGAAATCCCAAATCCCGCCCCAAAATCACCCCAGGGACACCAAAAACACCCCCCAAACCCCTTTCCCCCCCCCCCACCCCCCCTTTCCCTCTTTAACCCCCTCAATCACCACTTTAACCCCCCCAAACCCCCCAAACCCCTTTTCCCCCCTTTAACCCCCCCAAATCCCCTTTAACCCCCAAAAACCCTCTTTTACCCCCCCATTTTCTTCTTTCACCCCCTTAAAACCCCCCAAATCCCCTTTTACCCCCCAAACTCATTTTTACCCACCACAAACCCCCATTTAACCCCCTTTAACCCCCCAGACCCCCCTTTACCCCCCCAAATCCCCCCTTTAGCCCCCCCAAACTCCCTTTACTCCCCCAGACCCCCTTTACCCCCCTTTCGCCCTCCTCTAACCCCCTTTTACCCCCTTCTAACCCCCCCGACCCCTTTTTACCCCCCA